TAGAAAGGGTTTCGTGCGCTCTACAGACCTTAGAAAGGGTTTCGTGCATCGTAGGGAACTTGAAAAAGGTTTCGAAATTTGCAACGAAATCGAAACCTTTTTGAGGTTTCGTATATACTTTTGAAATCTTTAAAAAATATTCCTACAGCTTTGACAATCATCTTGAACCTATCTTGAGTTTTCACGAAACCTTAAAAAGGTTTCGATTTCGTTGCAAAAAACGTTCCGTACGGTACCATTTTTTTCAGCGTAGAGTTACTGTTTAAGATAGTTTCACATTTTTTAAGCAAAACAACGGCAAAAGACAGAGAGGACATGGTTTCGATAGATTTCTAACTGGTTTGAAGGAGACTTCGAAATCGAATGTGATGATGATTATGTTTCATCTTTCAAAATTAGAACCAGATGAATACGCCACAAAAGTTAAGACTTATTCAGGCTTTATTGTTTCAATATGAGTAGGTCTTTGTTTAAAAAAAAATTTCGGGTACACAATGATATTTGTTTAATTCTCAGTCAATTGAGGTGATGAATCACAGGATGTAGACCATCTGTTGCATTATATCTCGACCACGGCAATACACGTAATTCAAATCAAGTTATTCATGCTTATGGAATCGATAGACGTAGTTCACACTGAACTTGCCGATTCTCACCCGTGTCGTTGACTGCGATTTCCTTCTTCTTCACTCGAATCATATCTAGTATCTAACGTCACTTGTGCATTTGTCATATGCATTGTGATATTCAGTTGTGTAACATTCAAGGACTTTTAATGGAACTTTCATTCATGAAGAATCTGGGGTAGATTGTTCGCTCAATGATGCATGGCTCAGCGACTAGTTTGCACTTCACATTCGTCAAATGTAATATGGGGATCACTGTCTATGAGGCAATAGGCAAACCATTTTGACTATCTTTCAACTGTTTACAGAGAGACAAATCCTAGCCGTCTAAAACAGAATTCAGTTAATCATTGATAATCTTTGGTTCAATGCGTAATGCAATACGCATTGAAATAGCGAATCAAAATTTTTTCTGTACTAGAGCACTGTTAACGTTAGCAGTATATGGTGATCAAATTTTCTCGAGCTTTCTATAGAGTATAATAGTACCATCATCGCTACCCTTGGTATTTATGCGAATGTAAGTAATTGAATGATAGTTCTCTTTGATTTACAATATTAGTTCTTTTCGATTAAATTTATCAAATAGCAATAGATATAGTTCACAGATAAAACAATTTTCGTTTATTTGTGGCTACCATGAGCCTTGCCGATCCATTTTTCGAGCGTAGCTTTTGAACCTTCTTCATAGAGTAGTTTCACAGCGTCCTGTACTGTTTCAACAAATCGTTGGTTGTTGGCCAAATCACCGAAGACTTGTTTTACACTTAGCATTTCAATTGCACTGCGTCTTGTTTCACTGGCTAGCTGCTGTAATTTGAGTTCACTTGCCAAAACATCGTGCAGTGTAATTGGTCTGTTATCCTCATCCATTCCACCAAAATATCGAATCCAAGAACCGACGGCTAATGCACACAAGTATGGAATAACTCCTCGTTTTAACTGTTCAACAATGGTAGGTACGAGATATTTCGGAAATTTGGATGCTCCATCCATACACACTCTCGATAATGTATCTTTCATATGTGGATTTGAGAAGCGTTCAATAAGTGTACGTTTATACATATCGAGATTAACGTTTGGCACTGCGGGTAAAACAGGTGTAACTTCATCATTCATCAGATGTTCGATGTAAGATTGAATATTCTTGTCTAAAATAGTCTCATGAATATATTTATAACCCATCAAATAACCAAGATAGCATATGGCTGTATGAGATGCATTGAGTAGACGCATTTTCATACATTCGTACGCTTCGACATGTTCGGTTAGAAGAACATTGTAAGGCGCATTCGAAAGCAACTCAAGTGGAGGACGTCCATTACAAAATGAATCTTCGATAACCCATTGCATAAATGGTTCTGTTACTACAGGCCATCCATCGGCAATGCCACAGTGAAAATGAACATATTGCCGATCGGTATCGGTCGTAACAGGCGTGATCCGATCGACTAAAACATTCGAAAACACATCAGTATGAAAACAACTGTTCGATATGATGGAAAAAGGACGAAAGGAAAAATATCGAAAGGCAAAGAATAATCATAAGAGGCCGTTATAATAAAATGGTTAAAATATTTTTCTTCTGATGGGCTCATGACGTTAAATGTGTTCGTTCTTTAGGTAAAGATATACGAATTGATCTCTCGTTATTTTAGATATGATGACCACTATTTCTAAAACAATTTTATTCACTATTTCTCAAAAATGCAAAAAAATGTGAATATAGACAATTTCATCTTTAAATTGAATAAGACAAGTACAAAAAAGAATCTTATTGATGCTTAGATCTACATTGTATACTGTAAATGTATATACTGATCTTGATGATGTTATCTTAAGCATTAAAGATGATTATTGTCATCCATCTTAACCAGAAGAAATACGAATTCGAATATGGATACAGCTATAAAAACGCGTGCTATAAATGAAAGTACATCTATCCCACAAATTCAGAATGAAAAAGCAGCATGAATCAATCTATCAACATTGCCAGTTGCTGCTTTACCTATTCGGTATGATAATGGTGATATTACCTTTAATGAACTTTTAGAAGGATTATCCTTCGTTGTCGCTAAAATATCAAATAAAAAAAATGGACGCCATTATCCTCCATGAAATGACAGTTACCCAAAATGCTCGTGATAATTTATATTTACTTTTCATTTACTTAATAAATTTTGTTACAACTTCATAAACCTTATTTCTTATTCAGATATTTTAACTTTCGATATTCTTCTTTTTGGATAATTTCTATTCGACATTTATCCTTTCTTCCTTTTTCCATCCATTCGACCGTTCTCTCTTTTTGATCAATTCAACTTACCCATAGAGTTCGGAAATGTGACTTTAGTTTGAATGTAATCAAGCAGTTCGATATTGTTGAGTGCTTTAGTAAACTCAAGAATACATCGTTTTGTAACTTCACCATTCTGTTGAACATTGTCACAGGAAAGAACAGTAAATGGAGCTATGTTTGCTTGACGACGACCGTCCAATGCATGCACAAGGAAACCAAATACCGTTCTAGGCGCTTGTGGATGTTGTAAATCATGTTGAGTGTCAACATTCTTCAAGTCTAAATCGTAGCCACTTACCGTGATTGTCATGGAAACAATTTTCGTGTCCGGATGCATAAGTACGGCTAGCGTCCTTTCTGGTGCATCTGGTGCGAAAATATAACGAATGAGAGAGCCGATAATTCGAACATTAACATCTGTTTCATTGCAACCTTTGGATACCAATGTATACAAGCCATTTTGTGCCTGCAGTACCGTACTAATAGGTTTATCGATTGAACGAACTCCAACGCCTACAATACCCCATTCAGTTTGACCGTGATCATTTGCTAACACATCCATGTAATATGCTAGATGTGAACGATGAAAATTGCCTACACTCAAATGTACAATGCCATGCTTCAGTTGACTACGATTGTAAGTGGGTAAATGAGTGTGAACTGAATCACATTTGAGTTTGTCCACAATAAGGCGAGTTAAAGTGTTGTCAGCGTCCATTACTACCCAGGACAAATGATAACAATGAAAAAGCAACGATGTACTGATATGGTTATCTCGAAAAAGAGTAAGTTATTTGCACAGCAATGATGTCGATGGTTGTCTCTTCTATATACTGCGATCTTCGTAAACTTTGACAAGTGATATTGTGCATTAACATCGAGTAAACAATCGCATATTTGAGCCTATTTTTCCTGATACTCGGATCGTACATCTGTTGACGCAGTTAGAGCTAGGCGATAAATTTGTTATGGAAAAAACAAAATGCAGTGTTATTTGTGTTGATCTATGTTGTAATCGATTGTTTTTTAATGAAAATTAAACGTTTCGCCATGAGTTTTTTTATGAGTGGTATACTTTCGATTCATCGATGTGAGTAGAGGTGTTGTGGGTGTGAGATGTGAAGTGTAGGTTAAGGGAAGGTTTATCACGATAGAATGTGTCTTGAAAGAAACCTGGCTTTAGATTCACAAAGTGGCAGATAAGTGGAAGAAGAGATGAATCTGATTCATTGTTTAGTTGATGATACAAGAGTGTTTCAACTGTGTAGCGGCGTAGCAATGGTTCAATCTGTCTTGTTCGAGCGTATGGGTTCATCCGTTCATATGCTTTGTCGTACTGAGGATGCTGATGAGTGACTTGTGTATCGATCAAGCGTAGTAAAAATTGTGTGGCTGTGGGTGTGGAAGACGGTGTAGAAGAGTTTCAAAAGCACACTTACACACATATTCGAACTAGTCATTATGAGATAAAACATTGTTGATGGGTAAATGTCACTATCATCCGAAGATCAATTTCAATTGTTGTCGTTGTGACAATTCATCACTCTATTTGACTAATTGTCTAGATGAATTTCATCGAATGACATTAATTCAAAGAGTGTGTGTCATTTGTTTGACATCGCGATAAAGCCATGTTTGAAACCAAAATTCACTTGAA